TTTATACCCTCCCCTCCCCAGCCAGAGCCGGGCTCAGGGTGGCTAACACCAGTAAAATTACAGTAAAAACATATTAGGGGGGGGAAAACCAATTTAAAATACATGTTAAAATGCAATTTAAAATGCAGCCTCATTTTAAAAGTAGCCAATAGATCAAAACCATAAGGGGAGGGAAATATGAGGACTGAGTCCAAACCAAAGGCCAGGCAGAACAGCTCTGTCTTCACATTTTCTCCCTTTGCTCTTCAGTTTGCAAAATGAAGAGGCCTGGGCTGCCTGCAGCATGAATCAGATGCCAGAAGTCTTACAACATCAGGAAATGTGAGGACACCACAGCCAGCTCTTTATCCAGCAGACCGAGCAGATCTTGTTAGGTGCTCCACCTAGCAAACTAATCCCTGGCATCAAGGATTTCTTTGCCGTTGGACTTCCATGTACACACACACACAATTGCATTCCAGCACTCGGCATGCACCGCCGGAAAATTTTGTTTGCTTTCCATAATCCTTTGTAAAGTAGCATCATTGCCCATGAGGGAGGAAAAACTGCTTGCAAATGTTTTATTTTCATAGTTGAGTGTGCTTCTGGGGTGTAAATGCAAACATGGTCAAGGCCTAGTCTGAAGCATAGTTATCTCTCTCTAGAACATTAAGGGAAGGAAACAGGGCAAGTGGATACTGGCCGCACTCAATTCTTACATTACTTCCAGACTCCATTAATGGACATATCACTAAAGACTCAATTCCACCTGCTGAAGCCTTCATCAACCTGGTGCCTGCCTGCTGTGTGGGACTAAAGCTCCCATCAGTCCCAGACTGCAACTGGGTGATTCTGGGACTGATGGGAACAGGACTCTGCTGGCTAGGACTGATGGGAGTTGCAATCTAAAACAGCTGGAAAGCACCAGGTTGGCAAAGACTGGCCTCCTACAGGATGGGGGACCAGTGGCTTTGCAGATGTTGCTGGGCTGCAACTCCCATAATCTCCCCAGCCATGCTGGATGGGTTTGCTGGGAGCTGGAGGCAACTGTACCAATCTGGCCTGGCATCAGCATACAGCTTTCTCAGGCAGCTGTCAGGCCTCCTGTTTTTGGCAGGGTTCAGTACACTGGTTCTTGCCTGCGCATAGCCTCTTCCACTCCCAAACCATTGAGTCCTGCATGCCAAAATCTGGTTGTGGCCACCATTTTCTTTTTCCTGTCATGCATATCCAAGGACTTGCTCCACGGGGAACCAGGCCCATTGGCAGACCAACTCTGCATTTCAAAGATGTCTGCAAACATGGCTGAAGGCTGGCAACATCAACCCTGCCATTGCAGGGTCGCAGAACCTGGAGACAAATCGTGCATCTATAGCAGTGACCAGAGGAGGAATGACAGCTAGGAGAGAAGAAACGTCGTGGTGCATCTGCAGCAGCACAAGCAGGCATCTGCATCTGCCCCAGCTGCAACAAAACATGTCTCTCCTATATCAGCCTCTTCAGTCACAGCAGGTGCTGTTACTCACCAATGCCCCAAAGGTGCACTCCACCATTGTCTCCCGAGACAAACAGATGCCAACATTCATGCACTGGAATGACACAAGTCAGTGCATGGTGGAAAACAAAGTGGTAGCCACAGGGATGCTATCTTTTCTATTCCTTGCAGCTAAAAAATGGGGGAGCCCACTACTGTGCTGTGCAGCAAGGTTAAGCCCCACATAAATGTCCCATAAGCAATAAAAGCTTGGCCTCGCCTGGTGTGCAGAATGGCATATGATGTACTATCAACCGTTCAAGATGAACCTTAATCAACTGGAGAACGTGACCTGGCCAGCGGTGCCCTGCTGGAGGCCAGGTGCTGCCTCTTCCTACCCTACAGAGATTAACTCTGCAGGACAGGGATGGGGAGCCTTCCTGGGGCTTTTCCTGGTCATGGTGGCTGACGCTGGCAGGAGTTGGAATCCAATAACATTTGGAGAGCCACAGATTCCCCATCCTTGTTACTGAGTCCTAAAAACAGAGCTGAGATTCGTAGAATGGCACCTCTGGCCATTCACCCAAACATCTTTTTTAATACCCCACCCTACACCCCCCCCAAAAAAACCCCACCTCAAAACCAAAAGGAGGGACATTGGAAGAGAAGCCTTTAGAACTTTAGGGCTGTCCCAGATAAAGACGAGCCATTGGAATGTATAATTAACTGTGATCACAGCCCGAGAATATCATTCATAGACACATAAACAGGAGTTACGTAAGTGCTCTGGAATATTACTGGTATCACTCATGACTCCCATTTGCAGTGGTTACACAACTGTTGCACTTTTGTACAGCTAAACATACCCTAAGGGGAGAGTGGCAAAAACACAGCCAGAAATCAGACTGTCCATTTCAGTCGCCACCACCAGCCTACCGGAGGTTTGAAGTTACTTCTGTCAAAGTTTAGGATGATTCAGATGCAGCAGTTCCCCCCCCCCCCAGCTTGGTGTAAATCAGCCTTGGCTAGCCTGCAGCCCTACAGAGGTTTTGGACTATAACTCTCAACAGGTGCCTGGGGCTGATGTGAGTTGTGGCCTAAAGCATCTGGAGAGACCAGGCTGGCCAAGGCTGGTGTAAACAGATTTTGGATCTGACTTATCGTGTGCTTTACTGATATTTTAAGTGTTCTATGGTGATGCTTATTGCTTTGGGGTTGTGATTTCTTTTGATCTTGCACATCCCTTTGAGCGTTTTGCATGGAAAAGTGGTTTATTATTAAACATTATAATTAGAAATGTGATTTTTTAATTGATTTGTGCACAAAAGGTTGGGATGGTTTGCCTTCTATCTTCCAACTGTTTTCCTGGGAGAAGATCAAACTGTGTTGCACGACCCAAGTGGACGTAGTCCAATTGTCTTTTAAAAATATTGCTATAGTTTTTTGGGGTGGGGTGGGCATCTTGTATAGGTGAGAATAGAATCTATAAGAAGAAACCAGCCCAACCAGTTCCTTTGTTAGGTAAAGACCTTAGCCAGCCATTTACATCAGAAAGAGTTTGCCCTATTGCCATAGAGACAATGGGGGAATCCCCCTACCCCTCTCAGCTGCTCACCTTGTAAGGTAGACCAGCAACAGCCAGAGCTGGTATGTGAGTTTTGGCTGATGCTGATGTAGGGTCTTGCTTTGTGCTTCGCCCAACCCCAGTGGGGAAGCAAGATCTGCTGTGAGCCCCTCCATACTATGCTCAGGTCACATGTGTGTGTAAATAAAAGCTTGCATCCTAAAGTCACCACCGTCTACACCTTCATTCCAAGGATACCAACCCCTGGCTGAGTGCAGGCACCCTCGGAATCTCTAACCTCTGGGTTGTGTGCAGCAGTATCACTGATGCTGAAGAAGAAGAAGTCTCTAACTGAACAATTACCGGTAAGTAATTTTTAATTGGAGCCAACAGTTTAATTGTTTCAATTTCTGTTAGAGTAAGATACCTAAAAAGCAAACTCAAAATGAATGAATATACTCTTACATCTCATTACCAACAATTCAATTCACTCTCCTTGCCCACCAATTAATCAATTCAGTGTTTAGTTGATACTCAGAGTGAAAGCTTGCACTTTGATTATTGATAAATGATTATGACTTCACATAACAAATTGAATAATTATTTATAAAAATGTATATATTACAAATTCATAAAACTTCAGGATGCTGTGCAACTATAAAATATAAAACACAATTAAAAGCAGTACAAAATACAAAATGTGTGTGCGTCCTATGGGGCGAATGCAGGCTTTCGCTGAAGCCTGGAGAGTGAGAGGGGTCGGTGCGCACCGACCCCTCTCACTCTCCAGGCTTCAGGAAGCTATCCGCAAGCCCTGGGAGCTCAGCGGGAGTTCCCGCCGTGCTCCCTAGGCTTGCGGATAGCAGCCTGCATCTCAAAGCCTGGGGCGTGCTGAGCAGCCCTATAGGGCGAAAAATACAGTAATCATTATTATTGTATTCCATTTTACTCCAAGGAGCTCAAGGTAGTGTATATAATAGTCCCCACCCCCCTCAACAACTCTGTGAGGTCAGTGAGGCAAGCAAGGCTGAAAGGCAGGGACTGGCCCAAAGTCACCCAGGGAGCTTCCTGGAGGAGCAGGGATTTGAACCCTGGACTCCCAGCTCCTAGTCCAACACTCTCACCACTGCACTGCATTGGAAAAGCAAGAATGTGACTAATCAAAATTAGTGACTAGCTGACTGTTTAAACAGCTGCATAAGCCTGTTGGCATGAAAAAGACTTCAAGAAAGTGAAAAAGGCGAGGATGCCTGCCAAATCTCTGCTGGGACCAACAATGCTAAATGACTTCTGGCTGGAGTCAGTCGGGCCTCTGTGACACATGGGATTTTCTGAATTATTTGGGCAACTAAGGTAGGGTCTAAGGGCTCAGGTCGTCCCTAAGGTATCCTGGACCCGAGTTGTTCAGGGCTTTATCTACCATCGCAAGAGCCTTCCACCTGGCCTGGTAGCACCTGGCTGCTGATGACTGCACCAGATGGTGTTTTGGTTGCCATATGTCCGGAACTTCCTGGACATATCTGGAATACTGCAGTTGGAAGTAATGTCTGGACGGAAATCGCTTTTTAAAAATGTCTGGGAAAATTCGAACATATGGCAACCCATGTTGGCAGTGTTGTTTTTGGCGATTTTCCTTAAAGATAGCTCAGAAACTTTTTTTGTGAATTTGCCAGAAAAGCTCGACAACTAAAAACAACTCAACAACTGTTTGAAATATGGCAACCCTACTAAAAGGGCTGCCAACATAGAGCACATCACAGCAATATTGCAATGGTGTTAAATGACACTGCTACCTTACTCTTTAGTAAGCAAATTAATTCCATTTATGCATTCTCTGTGTGGAGCAAGAGTCCATTACTTCTCTGATTAACTCACAGCCATTGAAGTGACAAACTGCAGCTCAGTGTGTTCTCTGGCCACTAATGGCAGCTACTTGTGTCTTAAGACGCCTGAGCAGCAGAACCATGGGCTGAGCCAACCACTAGAGCTATAGTTCAGTGGCAGAGCATCAGCTTTTCAAGCAGAAGGTCCCAGGTTCATTCCCTGGCACCTCCAGACAAGGTGGGGGAAAGTCGTCTTCCTGAGATCCTGGAGCGCTGCTGGCAGTTGATGAAGAGTGGAACTTTGCTAGATGGCTCAATGGTCTGATGCAACAGGAGGCAGCTCCCAGGGTTCGCTAGCCTGAACAAGCTGTGCTTGTTTCTGTAACCATCTAAAAAAAGACATCTAAACATCACCTTGCTGCATCCGAATGTACTCAAAGGGGTGTAAATTATTCCACGGAGCCTGGAAATGAAATACACCCTGGAAACTTTTTCAGCTACACCCACATTGTTCCCATCCCATCTAATCAATATCTAGATCTACCTGTGCTCCAGCTGAGAGCTCCCTTCCTCCTGTCCATTTGTGTTACACCTGCCTCCCACTAGACAGTGTTACCTTCCAGTGACTTTCTTTCTTTCTTTCTTTCTTTCTTTCTTTCTTTCTTTCTTTCTTTCTTTCTTTCTTTCATAAAATGTATACCCTGCTTGATTGTAAAACAGCTCAAAGTCTTTGAAGAAATTACTATAAAATGTAAAAAAAGGTTGAAAACAACTATTTAAAACATTAAAAAATAAATAAACTCAGCAATAAACTAAAAACGAACACGCATCGGCATCCAGCCTATCTGGGGAGGCTGGTCTAAACAATTATGTTTTTAGCCAGTGCTGAAAATAGTACAGTAAAGGCGCCTGCCTGGTATCAATAGGCAGGGAGTTCCAAAGTGTAAGTGCTGCCATGCTAAAATATTGGATTTCTTTCAGGTGCTGAGCAGGTAATATGTAGCACCTGTAGCAGAGCCAGTTCCACAGATCGAAGGAGTCAAGTGGGTGTCTCTCACAGGTAAGCTGGCCCCAAGTTGTTAAGGGCTTTATATACTGAGAGCAACACCTTGAACTTGGCCCAGTGGCAAATTGGCAGCCAGTGCAGATCTCTGAGCACAGGTCTTATATGCCAAAAAGGTCTTGCTGCTGTCAGCAATTGTGATGCAGCGTTCTGCACTAACTGCAATTCCAGGTCAAGCACAAGGGAAGCCACGCATATATGTGAACTGAGGCAGGGATGCATCGAGAATGTGATCCATGCAAGTTCTGATGCAGTCTTGATCCACACCTTCCTGATGAGTATGTGTCCCGGAAAGGGGTTGTCCACTGGCCTTAACACTTTCTGAACATTCTGATCTGGTCTTGCCTGAAAAGATGGTAGAAAAATAGGTCCAGGCTGGTTTGCACTGGGCACTTTTGAAGGTGTTTGTTTGATTGTTTGTTTGTTTGTTTGTTTGTTTTGGAGGAGGAGGGGAGAACTGAAAGGGATTTGCTTCTCTCCTTGTGGTTTTGTGAGTGGTTTTATTATAAAATGTCATACATCACAGAGGTGCATCAAGGAAAAAACCTGAAAAGTTTCTGATGTTGAGGGCAGGGGCTAGGGAGTTACAATGAGTAAAAAAAACAGCTTCAAAAGTTAAATAAACTCAATGCAAAGCTGGGGGTTTATAGGCCAGAGGCAGAAGCACTTGAATATCCAACATGTTCCAAGCAAATGCTGTTAGCAGAAACAAGAGGCCAGAACAGACAACAAGGTGAAGCCTCAGCAACCCTTCCTCAAACCACTGAGATTTGAACGACAGGGTAAAACAATTCCCTCTGATTAGATAGACCTGTCAGTCACAAAGAGCTCCCCACCCCCACCCCCATGACATTTCCTTAACACTGCAATCTTGGGGAGAAATGGCATCTGTGGCATTTTTAAAATTACACTTTAGCTACTGAAGCCCCCTGATGGACGTGGGAGGCCCCCACTTCAGTTTAGGGCACATGGGAGAGATCACACTTCAGCTCAGGAAAACCTTGAATCTGTCCAAAGTAAGGACAGTTTGCTTCTTGATGCAAAATTCATACAAATCGCTTCCACACCCCTTGTGAAGATGAGGCAAACCGTTTGTAGTAAATGCTAAGAATATCACATTTCGTTAATGCTTTTTGCCCCTACCTAGTGCCTGAACAGGAAGTCCTGGAGTTGTTAAAAACCTCATGTTTGATGTCACAATAATTCTTGGCTTCCTTCCTTTGGGGCGTTTAAGGCTACTGTTCTATCCCCATTTACTAAGCACATTAAGCTTCAATTCACCTCAGCATGTGCCATGGACTGGACAGCTGGGGAACCCCCCAAGGGAAGAAGGCTTAGAGCCTGGGGAGTGGGGGTGGGACACAATGAGTGGTCAGAGGGAGAAGAGGGAGCAGACTGGGAGGAGGAGGTGTCAGAAGCTGAAGCGGTAACAGGGCTGAGTAAGCAGAAAGAGGCTCTGTCAGAGGGCAGTCCAGAATCAGAGGCAGCAGTGGAAGCTGGAGAGGAGGGGGGGCAAGAGGCAGAGTGGAGTCAGGCTGCTGAAGAAGCCAGGGATCTCCCCCCCTTCCTGCGGTGACCAGCTCCCCTCCTCTCCCAGAACCCACAGAGGTATGAAAAGGGCAGAGAAGACAAGAAGTCGGAGTCTCACATTGCTTGGGAAGGACCTGGGGGAGGAGGAGACTTAAAGAGCTGTGGAGAGGTGGAGACTGTCAGTCCTCACAGCTGGCTCATTGGGGCAAGACCTACTGGGAAGACTTGCAGTGCTCACTAGGCCTGAGCTTTTTTGTTTATTTGAATAAAGAGTTAACTTCACTGATGCCTTGTGAGTTATTGCTGACCTGCTCCCAACACCTGCTCTGACAGCATGACTTATTGGGTATTTTTTACGTTTTGGAAAATATTTTACATTACTTAAAAAAAGGGACAAAATATTTTTTTAAAAAAGCACATACACCCTCCAATTTCTTTTATATAATTTCTTTATAGCATTATTTATATGTTGCTTTCCTATGCATAGCCCACTCAAGGCAACTCCCTATATCATAAGAGTATAATAAATACAAGCAAACTAAAGGCAACATTTAACAGTTATTTTAAAATATAGGCCAGTGAAAAGATGTAGCAGAAACTGATGTAGCACCTAACAGAGCTCCCTGGAAAACAACATATTCCTATTTTAAAGAGTTTCAAAAAAATAGGGGCTTTTAAAGCACATTTAAACACCTGAGGCATGAAGGCCACACACATTTCTGAATGGTGGAAGTTCCACAATCTGGGGGCCAACACAGAAAAGGCAGCATTCATGTCTTTGGTAAGCCATGAGCATGCAGCCAAAATTCTGGGCACCTAGCAAAGAGAAATAAACACCACATTAGATGCAAGCTACTACTGTTTGCTATTAGCATTAGAGGTTGCCTAGGAACACCCACAAAAGAGAGATAAATAGCACACCTGCCAGCCACTCAGTGCTGACTACATGAATGAAACGTGTGTCAACAAAGACAATGGAACAGTCGCAGGATATACATTGACCCAGCATCCGGAGCGTGGGCCAAGCTTATTTCCTGATGCACTTGAAAAAACAAAAAGGAACCAGGTTATTTTCTGACTGTGTGAGGAACACAAAATCAGCCATCTTCAACTGTTTTCAGAGTCAGCCCCACTTGTAAACCCAACTGTCAGGTGCTGGTGCTGGTTGCTCGTGAGTAAGCAGGCAGGACACCGACCTGTCTTTTACAGGTTTTATTGGTGCAAACTATTTACAGTGCAGAACCCCAAAGTTCATGTCCGTCTTAGTAACTTGCAGATTCTGGGAGTGGCCCCTTCTGGTTTCCACCCCAACATAAGAACTTAGACACCCCAAATCTCCGCCTCCCCTCCTTACGTTTCACCCCTCTGCGTAAACTAGGCGAAGGAAACGGCATGTCTGTTTCCTGGCCAGCCAGACTAGGTGAGGTGCTTGGGCTCTCAGTAGCATCTTCGAGCTCCACTGCTCCACTGGAGGCCTGGCTTTCCCCACCGCTGGACGAGGCCTCAGCAGTGTTGGAGGCTCTCTCTATTCCCCTGCCCCCCTCCCTTGTTCCGATGGCAGTCCCCTGACACCAACTTTACACTTGCTTTGTTTGTTTGTTTTACCATTTAAAAACTTGATAAAATGCACAGACCTCAGGAGGCAAGATCAGAAATCAACAATTCCAGCAGACTAAGGACTTAATGATTTTGAAAAGCTCTTCTTATCCCTCACCTTAAAAAGTCAACTTTTAATCTCTGTTGAGATGCAATATACAGATATTTGGTATTCATGGAGAAGAGTTTCAGTGGCTCCGAGCCAGGATGGCTCTGCTCTGCCTCCCCAGTTGGAGGCAGGACGCTTTGAACAGCATCTGCTGGAAAGTGCAGGAGGGGAGAAGGGGGCTCTTAGGCTCAGGTCACCCTTTCCAACTTCCCACAGGTATCTGGTTGGCCCCGTGAGAAAAGGTTGCTGGATTACATACACCATTGGCCTGATCCATCAGTGCCATGGATTCTTGCATTCTTAATCCGTTAATTACTTAATTATCAGTTAAAATCCAGATAGTAAATTAGCTGTGGATACAATCTACAAACCTATCTGACTGGGAGTAAGTGCCACTGCAGCTCTTACTTTCGAGTAGGCATGTATAAGATGTGACAGGCGGTTTGCATTTGGATTTAGAATTCTTCATCAAGTAGTAATACTTGGGAGCTTAAATTGACCCACCCCTTAATTTTAGTTTAAACTGCTCTCGTAAACAAAGCAGAGATAAGGATCTGGCAGAAATTCTATGGAAGGAGTTCCAATGCTGAGGGCCCTTCCAGCACCTTGTTTTGGTGCTAGCAGCTCCTGAAGCACAGCCATAACTCCAGCTCACACTTCGCAGAGTCAGGAACAAATTTAGGAGCAGGTAAATCACCTGAGACCCTGGGTTTGGCAGTCCCTGTCATCTGCTAGCCATTCAGCTAAAAAGCAGCAGTTTGCTCACATGTAAAGTTGGTAACACTCACCTGCATGGCCAGCACTGAACCAACATTTATTGTGCTTAATTCACAGGAAATGTACAGTGTTGGTTCCCATTCAGCAAACAGTGTGCCTGAGAGAAATTGGGATCAGTTCAATGTGGGAGGAAAATTTATCTCCTTGTGTGACAGAG